GCCCGCTGTGGTGGGGCCCCCCCGGGAGCGCCTGCCACTGAGGCACGGAGCTTCCCCGGTGTTGGGGTCCCCCCCGGAGCGCGGGGAATTCCCACACGCTGGCCACGGGAGGCGGCGGCAGGGTACTCACCCGCGCGCAGTTGTCTATGCCGGGGACACCGGGCATGCCCTGGTCGCCCTTCTCCCCTTTGACTCCGCTGGGCGTGTGGGAGCTGGGCTGCACCTGGGCACAGTCCCCGCAGATGTTCTGGGGAGAGAGGAGGGGTCGCATGAGGGGGGATCCCCCAGCGTCCGGCTGGGACGCGCCGGCTTAGCACACTGGCTGCTGTTCCTATCACAGCGGGGCCACGGGGCCCAGCAGAGATCGGGGCCCCGCGGTGTTAGGTGCTGCACAGGCAGCGCGCTGCAACAGCCCCACCCCATGGAGCTTATGAGGGGGGGACTGCGTCGCCCTCTACTGACCAGCCCACGGGACTGCGACAGCCCTCTGCTCCCGGCCGATGCAGTAAGTGGATCAGAACTGGCTCCCTGCGGCTCTGACAGTGCCCCGCACTGGATGCTTCCGAAGGAAGGGCAACGGCCTGTCTAGGGGCCAACGGCAAGGTACCTGAGACCCTGTTGGCCAGGGGCTTGCCTCAGTCTCGGATGTGGAAAGATGTGGGGTCCCAGTGGGGCACACACTAAATAAATTTACAATTGATAAAGAACCATCTGACTCAATCAGAACCACAGGTAAAAAGAAAGTTAAGGTTGCAAAGTGAGGCCTTTTAAAAAACCCACTCCAGCTCTTAGCTGCAAATACAGTTTTAGCCTCCCCAGCCTGGCACCCTCGGAACCTGACCCGGCAAAATCTCTGGTTCGGTACTGACCACGGGAGGTCAATATTGTCTAGCACAGTGTTTCTTAAACTGTATTCTGCCACAGAGAACTAGTCTGGAAAAGAGAAGACAGAGAGCGGACTAACAACAGTTTTTGAGTACTTAAAAGACTGTTACAAGAAGGAGGAAAAGGAATTGTTCTTCCTAACCTTTGAGGATAGACCAAAAAGCAAGGGGTTTAAATTCCAACAAGGTGGTTTAGACAGGGAGTGTGGGGAGCCTGACTGCTGCTGGTTGTGGAATCTCCATCTCCGGAGAGATTTAAGAGCAGGCTGGACAGAACCTGTCAGGGATGATCTAGACGGTGCTTGGTCCTGCCGGGAGGGCAGGGGACTGGACTTGATGTCCTCTCGAGGTCCCTTCCACTTCTAGGATTCTGTGATTCTATAAGAGGCCATCTGCAGCTCTAGCTGCCTTTGCTTCCCAGCGCTCTTACCTTGAGCACCTCGATGTTCCGCTCCGCGACGACAGCGAGCGGCCCCTGCAACAGACACACAGAGAAAGAGAGGGTACCCCCTGGAAACCAGGCCTGACCGCTGCAGGCTCATCTCGCTCAGGGCGACTGCCAAAGCAGTGAAAAGCATGATGGGTAAGAGGCTGTACGCTCACATGTGCTCTGCCCAGGAAGACTTAGGCGCTAGGGAAATAGCTCGGCAAGAGCTAATGGCGAAAAAGCACTAAGCACACACCTGGGGCAGACGGAGACACGGACACATCAGTTCCTGTACCTACCACATCTCCTGCTGGCCCAGGCAGTCCTGGCAAACCATTGTGTCCTGGGATGCCCTAAAGCCAAGGAGAGAGCTTGAATATTCAAATCCTTCTGCATAGCCTTCTCCACGCCCTGCTGCCTGCTCCTGCTCTCACCGTCTCTCTCCTCCACCTCGTGCTGCTAGAGCAAACACTTTGCCCTGCTTCCAAACTCCACGCAGGGCCCACACGTGGTTCTGCCTTAAAGGCGCTGTGATCTGATAACCGGCACACTCAGCTCTCCTATGGGGCAGGATCGTTCTCCCTGTTTTACACGCGGGGGAAACTGAGGCACGGAAAACCAAAAGTGATGTGACTGAAGTCACACAGCTGGCCAGCAGCAGAACAGAACCTAGATCTCCTAGCTCCCTGCCTAGGGCTCTACCCTCTAGACCTCACTGTGGAGGGGGGATTTTTTCAGAAACTAATCACTACGGCACAAATACAGCAGGGCTCCCCAGTTCTCAAGTGCCCATCACCGTAGCCTTGGGGCCTGGCTGAAGCAAAACCTTCACTGACTTTAACAGGACCAGCGCTTGCGCAGGGACTGAAAGCTGCGGGACTGGGGAGGGTTTTTAAAATGCACCATTTTGCCATCAAGAAATAATACTCTTCTTTTTGGTGGGTCCTACAACATTGTTTTCCCCTTGCCTGCCCCCTGCTGGCTGGGCCGTGGCACTGCACTAAGATGCGGTTCCCTGCGCGGCACGCATGCCAGTAACACCAATGAAACGTTTAGACCAGACAACGGTGCCAGGCCAGTGGCTGGGCTCCCTCGTCGATCGCAGCTCCAGCCCCAGGGCCAGGGAACCGTCTCGTTAAGGCTGAAGGATTCACATGGAAGAGAGCAAGGCCTCCCTTGGGCGTGAAATATCAAGCGCCGGACAGCGACACAGACTCAGCTCCCCTCTGAGCTGAGCCAGCAGGGGGCAGGGCAGTGGATTCTGGCAGCCAGCAGGGGGCAGGGCAGTGGATTCTGGCAGCCAGCAGGGGGCAGGGCAGTGGATTCTGGCAGCCAGCAGGGGGCAGGGCAGTGGATTCTGGCAGCCAGCAGGGGGCAGGGCAGTGGATTCTGGCAGCCAGCAGGGGGCAGGGCAGTGGATTCTGGCAGCCAGCAGGGGGCAGGGCAGTGGATTCTGGCAGCCAGCAGGGGGCAGGGCAGTGGATTCTGGCAGCCAGCAGGGGGCAGGGCAGTGGATTCTGGCAGCCAGCAGGGGGCAGGGCAGTGGATTCTGGCAGCCAGCAGGGGGCAGGGCAGTGGATTCTGGCAGCCAGCAGGGGGCAGGGCAGTGGATTCTGGCAGCCAGCAGGGGGCAGGGCAGTGGATTCTGGCAGCCAGCAGGGGGCAGGGCAGTGGATTCTGGCAGCCAGCAGGGGGCAGGGCAGTGGATTCTGGCAGCCAGCAGGGGGCAGGGCAGTGGATTCTGGCAGCCAGCAGGGGGCAGGGCAGTGGATTCTGGCAGCCAGCAGGGGGCAGGGCAGTGGATTCTGGCAGCCAGCAGGGGGCAGGGCAGTGGATTCTGGCAGCCAGCAGGGGGCAGGGCAGTGGATTCTGGCAGCCAGCAGGGGGCAGGGCAGTGGATTCTGGCAGCCAGCAGGGGGCAGGGCAGTGGATTCTGGCAGCCAGCAGGGGGCAGGGCAGTGGATTCTGGCAGCCAGCAGGGGGCAGGGCAGTGGATTCTGGCAGCCAGCAGGGGGCAGGGCAGTGGATTCTGGCAGCCAGCAGGGGGCAGGGCAGTGGATTCTGGCAGCCAGCAGGGGGCAGGGCAGTGGATTCTGGCAGCCAGCAGGGGGCAGGGCAGTGGATTCTGGCAGCCAGCAGGGGGCAGGGCAGTGGATTCTGGCAGCCAGCAGGGGGCAGGGCAGTGGATTCTGGCAGCCAGCAGGGGGCAGGGCAGTGGATTCTGGCAGCCAGCAGGGGGCAGGGCAGTGGATTCTGGCAGCCAGCAGGGGGCAGGGCAGTGGATTCTGGCAGCCAGCAGGGGGCAGGGCAGTGGATTCTGGCAGCCAGCAGGGGGCAGGGCAGTGGATTCTGGCAGCCAGCAGGGGGCAGGGCAGTGGATTCTGGCAGCCAGCAGGGGGCAGGGCAGTGGATTCTGGCAGCCAGCAGGGGGCAGGGCGGTGGGTGCTGGGAGCCCCCTGGCTTGGGCCCGCAGGGGACTAAGTCCCAAGTGACTGGGGGCTGGGCCCTGGTGCACAGAGACACCTCACGGCTTGGTCTCTCCAGTCAGCATGGAGGGAGGGGACGTCCCTACCCTGAGGAGCGAGGGGAACAATGCCAGGGGCAGGACAAACCCCTCGTCCACGGCTTAGCCGAAAGCCCAAGTGCCCAGCAGCGAGCCGACGCTGCATAGGGGGCCGCGGGGCCGATCGGCCGCAGCCTCTGCCGCAGGCTGCCAGCACAGGCTCAGCCCCCAGGGAGCTGTCGGCCATCAGGGATGGAGAGGAAACCAGCTCACCTTCTCACCCCGGGTCCCCTTCTCGCCCTGCCGGGAAGAAGCCAAGAGAGACGTGTTAGAAGGCAACGCCACGTGGGTCAAGGGCAAGAACATGCCTTGCTGGTTCCGTCGGGGTCTCGGAACCGGAGCAGTGCTGGGCAGGGTCTGCCGTCACCCATTCACGTCTGCTGTGCTTGTGCCCCTACCTCACTGTTCACCAGCACTTGTGCAAACAAGTCTGTGTTGGTGTGAGCATCTGGGGCACACCTGCTCTTGGCACAAACCCCCACATTCAGGAAAGCATCTGCTATTGGCCTGTCTCCTCTTCCCAAACCTCCAGTCCTCCAATCAGAAACAATGACATGTGGTGTAGGTGACCATTCCTACGCCAGCAATAACCCACGGTGAACAGGCGGCAGGAGCGGATGTCTACTGGGAGGGATGCAAAGGGGGGCACCAGCTAAAGGGGGGGCTTTACCCAGGTGGCCTGCACATTAAGGGCAGCCACGGGCTTCCGCTGAGCCCATCCCATTGGTGACTGCAGATCATTTTTAAGTCTTCTGAACAGGAGAATCAGTTCTGGTTGATACGGGCACAGGGAGGATTCTTACGTAAATGACTCCAAGATCTCTTCCTTGGTGAGTGGCAGCTAATTTAGGCACCATCATTCTGGATGGATAGCTGGGAGGCTCTTTTGCCATGTGTAGTTTTTTGTTGCCAAGCCCCCAAGTTTTGAGAGATCCCTTTGCAGTCCCCTTTGGACTTAACCATCTGGATCTCTTCTTTCTTTCTTTCTTTCTTTCTTTCTTTCTTTCACTCCTCCGAGGAAGTGTGTTGTAGCTCACAAAACCTCTAATACTGCCATACATTTGTTCCTTTTAAAAATGCCACTGGACTCCTTGTTTTTGCTGAAACAGACTCACGGGGCTACCTCACTGAAACTTTCTATCATGTGCAAACTTCGCCCCCCTCGCCAATTACCCCTTGTTGCAGATTCTTTATGAATATGCTGAACAGCTCTGGTCCCAGACCAGTATAAACTCCTGGGGACACGTCTATTGGCTTCTTTCCCTTCCTACCTCTTCTTTATCTTTTCACTGGAGTGCCTGGCAATGCGTTAGGGCAGCGTTTCTCAACCCATGGTACGCGTACCCTGAGGGGTACTCGAGAAGTCGGGGGGTTACGTCAACACCACTGAAAATTGGAGAAAACTGAATTTTTGTTTTAAGTTTCACAGCGCTTTATTTTGGTACTTTTTACACCCAAACATTGAATCGCCCGCCCAGCTATGATTAAGTTGGGTAAACAAGTGTGTTGCAATGGTAGAAAAAAAATTGTGTCTGAAAACTGTAGGTACATCATAAAAAAAAGGTTGAGAAACACTGCTTTAGGGTCATTTAATGACCTTTTGTTATCTTGATCACTCTGACTCAAAGGCCCTGTCCCAAGGGTGGGAGTTTGACTCACCACATTCCACAGTCAAACTGGGCCCTCCCAGGATGGGGAGAGGCATATGACCTTTGCCCCCCCCGCCCCCCACATCTCCCCTCTGCCTGTGGGCAGGAGAAAGGGCTCCATTCATGGCCTAGATTGCTCACAATGGCACTTAGGAAACCAGTTGCAACTCAACCAGCATTGTCTTGATACTGCTTTTAACTTTTTCAAGATGGCAGTGAGCAAGCACTTAACTCGTGGACGAAAGATGACCCATGTAATTGCTGCATGTCTCTACTTGGTGTGTAGAACTGAAGGAACACCTCGTATCGGTCCAGTGGAGGGCAACGAAAATGATGCAGGGGTTGGAGCACATGACCTACGAGGAGAGGCTGAGGGATTTGGGTTTGTTAAGTCTGCAGAGGAGAAGAGTGAGGGGGGATTTGAGAGCAGCCTGCAACTCCCTGAAGGGGCGTTCCAAGGAGGCTGGAGAGAGGCTGTTCTCAGTAGTGACAGATGGCAGAACAAGGAACAATGGTCTCAAGTTGCAGAGGGGGAGGTCTAGGCTGGATATTAGGGAAAAAAAAATTACCAGGAGGGTGGGGAAGCTCTGGGCTGGGTTCCCTAGGGAGGGGGTGGAATCTCCATCCCTAGAGGTTTTTAAGTCCTGGCTTGACAAAGCCCTGGCTGGGATGATTGAGTTGAGGTTGGTCCTGGTTTGGGCAGGAGGCTGGACTTGATGACAACAGGTAACAGGAATATTGTGGTGATAATAAAAGTTCTTTCTCTTTTCTTTTTATTAACCTGGGATTGGTTCATTTTTGTGTCCTGGTTTGTACTTTAGGGATGAGATTTCCCAAGTAGTCTCTCCCTGGTTTCTTTAGCATTCGTTGGGTGGTAGGAGTGGATTTTATCCCCAAAATCTAGGGCTTTAAGATTTTGGAGGGAAGTTTTATACCAAAGCCTGGTAGATAAGGTTTGGGGGGACTTTTGCTGGACCCCACTTCTGCATTTATCGTGCCAGAGTGGGGAAGGAGCCATGACAGCTCTCTTGCGCCAAGGCGCATCGCTTTTCTGACGTGCTTTTGCAGTGTGGACGCGCTCTTGTACAAGAAGCCTCCAGTGTAGACGTAACCGATGATTGTAGAACCCAGACAGCAGGCGGGAAGGAGCGTAACTGCTGCTGGACTTCAAGAGTTAAAAGGACTCCAGCCAAGCCAGGAAAATGCCACCTCTGTTACTGAGCATGCTGGAGAGAATGTAGAGGGAAGCCCTCCCACCCTCAAATCCACTCCTTGCTGCTTCCAGCGTGTTTCCCTCCGGGCTTCCAACACTCCAGGACACCTACCGGCCAGCCACTTTACAAGGGACAGTACCAGCAGGGGGCGAAGCTCATCAGGGACCTGATCTGAAGCTCATGGACATTGATGGAAAGGTTCCTATGGAGGAGTCCACAGAACCATGGTCCCCCTGTCTCCCGGACCCATGCCCCCTGCCTCCCCAACAGGCCACATGGCTAATGCCCCTGGGGCAAAGCCAGAGCAGTCTGCTTCATTGCCTTCTGGCTGGGTCACCGTGCTGCGGCGTGTAGGATCCAGCACCACACGGGATAAAACGAGGGACAATCCCCGGTTTCACCGAATGAAGGAACATGGGTTATTTTCCTCCCCTGTCTTACAGCTACATTTTGGGGGCCTGGCGAGAATCAATGGGCAGCGTCTCTTTCCCAGCTCCCCAGGCAATGACGGCCGAGTTCCCAGTGAAATCCAGAGATGCCCGGCATGGGGGCGGAGCTTTCCTAGGGACCCCTCCTGTGTTCGTGCCCCCGGGAGGGGATGTAACTGAAGGGCAGCTCTCTAGCCCAAACTTCTATCTAGCGGAGGTCTTCCGCTGGCCCCCACCACCACAGCACCGGAGCCCCCCAGCCCGTTCAGCCTCACGCAGCCCCACGAGAGAGGGAAATCTGTTCTCCCCTCTGCACAGGAGGGAAACTGAGGCACAGATCCTGTAGCCCAGCAGGATAGCCAAGGGATCAGGTCCCGGGGAGGAGAGCTAGTCCAGCAGGAAAATTGGGGGTCCATCCATTCCCACCCTCCCCCAATCAACAATTCTTTTCTTTAGGCAAATGAGGCCCCCGTGGGCGGCTGGCGAAGGGATGGGTGCAGGTGATGGACTCCAAGGTGATGGAGGTGACATGGAGAGAGAATTACCTCGTTTAACAAGGTATCCGTCCACTTCTCTGTCACCAGGGTTGAATCAGAGGCAGGGAGCCCCCCGGGCCAGGGAAGGAGCTTCCTCCCGCCTCTCCCGACATGGAGGCCGCCTGCATCAAAGC